CATCATCATCGTCATCATCAGCATCATCATCAGCAGCAGCATCATCGTCACCGACAGCAGCGCCGCTGTCATCGTCACCGTTATCATCAACAACAACACTCCCCTGCTTCTCCACCTTCTTCTCCATCACCGCCTCCACATCCTTTCCTTCCTCCTCCGTCCACCCTCCTGTTCCCTCCAAGCTCCCCCACGCGCCGCGGCAAAGCAAGGGCACTGCTTCTGAAGCTCGATGGCGTGGTCGAAGTTGCCTGCCGCAGGCGGTTGGGAGCTGCGGGGAGCGGCGGCAGAGGAGGGACCGACGGGCGCGGAGCGGTGGGCCGGTGAGCTGGTGAGAGGAGGGCAGATGGCAGAGGGAAGAGAAGGAGGAGGAGGAGGAGGAGGAAAGGAAGAGAAAGAAGAAAAAGATGAGAAGGAGGAGAAGGAGAAGGAGGAGGGACACAGGCCACAGAGACGAAAGCGGACAATAACAAAAACGAGCGACGCCCGTCCAGGGGCAAGAGAACTAAATTCGCGACCCTTCAAGAGGGCTTTCCCGACCTCAGATAAAGAACATCACGACCCACGGAAAATACTTAGTTTGGAACATAAGCCACGCGTAGATATATTGCTTGGCGAATGGAGAGAAACCCTATACAGTGAGAGCAGTGAGGAACTATCTTGGCGACTAACCACAGCCGAGCCTAGGAACGCATCTATGAACACAAAACGCCAAAGGTGCTGCTCATGCCCGGAGATGCTGTCCAAATGTGCTTCACAATCTGCTGCACCTACTCTGTTCTCGTACAAACAAGATCCAAATATGTATCCAACGCTTCCGGGCGACTACTGCGAAGGGGGTTCTCCAAGAAGGGCGAGAGCGTGAATGGTGGAGGAGTGGCTTTCGCCGTTGCGTGCATTATTGAATTGTCGTCTGCTGCGTCCGACGGAGACCCAGAGGCCTGCTCTCAATATATCTCCCGTTGCGCTTCTCTCTCCCAGGGAGGAACAGGAGGAGGAGGAGGAGGAGGAGGAGGAGGAGGAGGAGGAGGAGGGAGGAGGAGGAACGGGAGGGGGCAAAGCTTTGAAGGCAGGAGGGCGGGGAACTAGGTCCAGGTTGGGAGCCTGAATGCGGGGGAGCAGAGAGTGGCGGAGGCAAAGGGGCGGAAAGGAGCAGGCAAGGGCGATAGGGCGGCTCAGGGAGCAGGGGAGGGGAAGAGGCATCGGGAGAGGAGGGGGGAGGGGCGGGGGGGGGAGCGAGGGCAGGAACGTGGAAGGGCGAGGGGGAAGAGGGCAATGTGGGCGCCAGAGAGCCGAGGCCGCGGCGCGGAGTGGAGGAAGTGGAAGAGGAGGAGGAGGAGGAGGAGGAGGAGGAGGAGGAGGAGGATGAGTGGAGGAGGAGGAGGAGGGAGGAGGAGGAGGAGGAGGAGGAGGAGGAGGAGGGGGAGGGAGGCTTCGCCCCGCCTTTGACTAGGGACTGCCGGCCATGAGCTCTGCGAAACCGGACCTCGCCCACCAGGCTGCAGCTGCCAATCCTTGCCCTCGACCCTCACAGGTGGAAGGGGAAAGGTTTTCGGACGCCTGTTTGGACCGTGACGGACTGCCAGAAGTCTCCGGGGACCTCTGGGCTCAGGATCCAGGGCGGCAGCAGCACCTGCCGGCTGCAGCTTGCCCGCCCTGCCGCTATGGCTGATCGGTCGGTGCAGTGCGCACCGGGAGCGCTGGGCCGACGGACGTGTTGCAGCTCGTGGTCGGCCTGCCAGCTCTCCTCGCGGGCTTCTCTCCTGCCGAGCCTCTTGCGCACCGCCTCTGCGATCCCACTCGCAGTGATTACGCACATCTTTCTCGGGCCCCCTCTGGCCGCCACCCTGTCACTAGGTGTCTATCCCCTCTTCTGTATGTTCAAAATTTCGGGGGGGTGGGACCCCCCCCCGCCTTAGAACAGGACCCCCCGGACCCGTGGCCCCGTGGCCCCGGGGCCCCCCTGGACGCGCCTGCAGAAGGTCTCCTGGGCCTTCCGGGGCCCCTGGAAGCCCCTGCTGAGCGTAGGCAACGGGCCCAGATCGGTCATCTGGGCGGCCGAACGGCCCCGCGAGAGCCCCAAGCGGCCACAGTCACCCACGAGACACCCAAAGACGACCCAAAGAGGGCCCTCAAGAGGCATTCGAGCCGACCGCCCCAAAAAATAATGATCTCAAATTCTTCCGATTTTAGGAATGCTCTATTCTTCGGTCTTCCGGGCGTCCGAGACCGCCCAGGAAGCCAGGACATCGCTTACTACTTCAGAGCTTCCAGACAGTCCAGGGGGATCCCCAAGATGGCCCGAAGAGAGCCCCCTTGACGGCCCAAGATGGCCCCAAGTCGCCCCCCGAAGTATTCCAAATCGTGACCTGGTCGTTCGGGGAGGCCGCGGTTGGAAGCAGGGTGACCCGAGGAAGCCCTCAGAGCCCCCTGGAAGGAACCCAGGATGCCTCCAGAAGACCCCAAGGAACTCTGAAAAACGTGAGTAGGCCCCCCAAGAGGCTCTCCAAGGAGGAGCCTCCGCAAAAAGAGCTACGGAGTATGGCGACGAATTCGCAGTGTAGGGCGATAATGAAGGCAGAAGAGGAAGCATGAGGGAACTATACTTAATAACATTGTTACAGCGACGATGTCGGACAAGGAAGCAAAGAGTTATCGCGAAATGATTCCTTCCGCTGGCATGCCAAACACCAAGGACCAAGGTGCATGGCGCGAAGCGCCAATGCAGTCTTGTATTTATCTGTACGTATATGCATATACGAATAGGACTACCCTACGGGTGAGGGTGATAAGGAGGTTGGGGGGAAGGGGGAGGCGGTCGATTTGCGATGGCTCTGGGTCCGTTGGTGGTTTCTTCAACTGTTTTATTGTCGCGCACATCTGCCCATCGATCTATCGACCTAGCTACCTAGCTATCTGTTTGGGACAACCAGCTATGCCTATATATAGATATATCTATCGATCAGCCCTGCAGCCTGTCAATCATTCAACCAGTCAATCCATCAATCTATAGACATGTAGATATATACACACATCTACATGTGTATCTATACATATATAAAAATCAACCATCGGGAGAACCGTCGGGACAGCATATGACAACATCTATATATATATATATATATATATATATCAATCTATCTACCTGTCAACCATCGGGGCAACCATCGGGGAAACCATCGGGACAATCACAACCGTCAGGACAACCGCCGGGACAACCGCCGGGACAACCAGGGCCACGCCCGGCGCTCGGGGGGGGCGGCCCTTTTGGCAATAGACGGCCTCTACTAAGGATGGGACTCGCGCAGCTTCGCCTCGCCCGCACGCGCGACACGAACCGAAACCGAAACTGATTTCCCGGTTGGGGTCACTTCCGTTCCAACCCCCCAACCTCGGATATACATACATATATCAATATATATATATATAAACACGCACACATGTGTGTAAACACAAGTAGGTGTGTATGCACGTCTATGTGCTATACAGATGTTTATAAACAAACGTAGATGGTACCCATATATATATATATATATATATATGTATGTATCCTCTCACCTCTGTTGTGCCTATTCCTTCCCTGGTCTTGTTCATTCATGGAACGCTAGCCCGTTGAGTCTATCGTGTTGCTCCTACCCTACCTCCGCCTCACAACCCTGTGGGCACAACATCTGGTGCTTCCAACAGCCCAGCAGCCAGCCGCTCGTCCCCGTTCCCCCCCCCTCATCCTCCACCCTCCTCCTCCTCCTCCTCCTCCTCCTCCACAGCCTCCTCCATCTCCTCCTCTTCGTCCGTCGCCTCCTCCGCCTGCTCCTCTGCGCCCTCCTCCTTCTCCCCCTCCTTCTCTGGTCCGCATGCCGCCGTCACCGTTTCGCTCTGCGCAGGCTTCTCCCGGCAGACGGGGAGAAGCCGTTTCAGAGGATGCGTATGCAGAGGACCGCCGACGGTCTGCCAGCGACTCGGCGAGCCCCGCAGCTGGCCACAGGCAAGTCTGACGGGGTGGTCGCTGGACGCCCGTCGGGGGCGCGCACGTTTGCCAGCCGCCCCCCCCCCCACATGGGGGGCGAAGGGTGCCCTTGGTCATGTGAAGGGAGGGGGCGGGGGGAGGAGAGAGGGAGGGGAGGGCGGGGGGAGAGGCCCAGGCCCCAGGCGCGAGAGGGGAAGCGGGGCAGGGAGGGAAAGGGGGGAGGGGGGGAGGAGGAGGAGAGGGGGAAGGGGGGGGGGGGGGGCACGCTGAGCCCCGACGGGGCGGATCCCGCTGCTCAGTGACCGTACTCGTCCCAGTCCTCCAGCTCCACATCCGCCTCCGCCTCCCTCGGGGGAGCGTGGGCAGGGAACCGCCGCCTGTCTTGTGCAGGGACAGCCCGAGCCGGTGGCAAGCCGACCCCTCCAGCGAGGCGTCCTTGCTGAGCTGGGCGCACCGCAGGCAGCGCTCGTAGTAGGCTGGGCGGGCAGGGGAGGGGAGGGATGGGAAGGGGGGAGGGTGATCCTTGGAGCGCTGGGGATGGAGGCTGGGCATGAGGAGTAGGAAGGCTCGGGAAGTCGATCGTCAGGGGCCTCGACGGAGGACACGCAGCGTGTCTCTGACACCTTGGAAGTCTCCACGAGCCCGCGGGCGAACTGCCCCTGATCCAGACCTCGGAGAAAAGGTGTGATCCGATGAGGCAAGGGCGAGAAGGAGGCAAGAGCAGGAGGAGGAGGAGGAGGACGACGACGAGGAGCAGGAGGAGGAGGCGGAGGAGGAGGAGGAGGGACGAGCCAGGAAGGATGAGTGTCGGCAAACGGGTAGCTCGCGCGGCGCACTGCCGCCCCGGCTGCGCAGCTTACTCGCCCCCGCCCGCTCGCTCGGAAGACGGACTATGTGCCCGCGAGTTCGCCGCCAGTGCGGGTACCAGGCTGAGAGCAATAATCAAGAGGAGGAGGAGGAGGAGGAGGAGGAGGAGGAGGAGGGCACACATGTATGTGCGCATGCAGTCGAACACTCGTAAACGCGCGTATGCGAGCAAGCACGGCACTTGCATTATTGCAGCGGTGGGCTACACAGACTGTTTAGGTGTGTCCTCGGAAGCCACCGGGCACCAATTAGCTACTCAACCACTCGGACGGTCGCGTACAGTCGGACTGTAGGCCAGAAGGACATCCCTCAATAACATGAGAACATCCGTCGGCCAAAACACACACTACAACCAAGGGTGCACCCCCAGGATGCACAAGAACATCAAAAAACACGAAGAGCACAAGGATGCCGTCCCCGAACCGACGTCGATCTTGTACCTCGGTCCGACTGTAGTGCCACCGAGACGGGGGTGTCACCAAGGGAAAACGAGCAAAGCTTACCGAAGAGCACCAGGCCAAATGAAATGAGGCATGGGCAACAGTCTGACACGAACACCCCCCCATGCAAGCGTCTAGCGATCCGCCTCCTCGCACAAGACTGTCGCCCACTGGATAATTAATGCACGCACGCGCTCCGACGCTAAACATGTCGCAACGTCGAGGCTGAAGTGCGGTGCCCGACCAGCAGCCGATCTGTGCTTGGAGAGGCGCGCGCCCAGCCTGTGGCGTCGCTGTCCCGGCTCTCCCTCTCGCTCTTCTCGGCGAGCGTCTGTGGGAGGGGAAGGCCCCCCCCCAGTCCCCATGCCTCTCCAGCGCCCCTCCCCCCGTTCCCCCACCCTCCTGCCTCATCCCCTTCCGCGTCGCCGCCTCCCTTCTTGTCACTATCTCCTCCTCCTCCTCCTCCTCCTCCTCCTCCTCCTCCTCCTCCTCCTCCTCCTCCTTCTCCTCGTCGTCCTCTTCCTCCTCGTCCTCCTCATCCGCCACCTCCTCCTCGTCCCCCTCCTCCTTCTGGCACCAGCCGGCCGCCTGATAGACGTGGGTCAGCCGGCTCGCCGCCCTGATCTGCAACGGCAGTGAGTCGCCGGAGGTGGCGATCTCCAACGCCTTCTCGTGGAACTGCCTCCCGGAGCGTCCCGCGGGCGGCTGGGGGCGCGAGCCTTCTTGCTGCCCCGCCTCCCCCTGCGCTCGCGTGTGAGCTCAGGTGGAGTCTGGCGAGCAGCGCTCCCAGGGAGACCTGGCTGGACTGGCGCCTCCGTGGCCTCGCACGGCCGTTGCTGCTCCCCTGCCTGTCTGCCCTGGCCAGTGCCTGGCCAGGCTCCCACCTCTCCCGCACCTGTCTCGTTGCTCACACGCATGATCAGATCGCCCAAGTCTTAAGATGTGCTTGCTCAGTCGGAACGTCTTCGGTCCTTCCAGACTGGAGTTCCCGCTGCAGCTCCGGCCTCGTTTCAGGATCGATGCGCTTCTTCCGTCGTTCGGAGTAAGCTCTCTCGCCCCGGCGCGGGCCACACTTCTGGATCTGATTGCATTCTCTTCGTCGTCGCCCCCTTTGTTTTCTCTCCACCCCCCCTGCCACTCCTGCTCCTCCTGCTCCTGCTGCTGCTGCTCCTCCACCTCCTCCTCCTCCTCCTGCTCCGCCTCCTCCTCTTCCTCCTCCTCGTCATGCTCATGTTCTGGAACCTGATTCGTGTCCCCCAGCTCCTCCTCGTGATCCTTCTTCTCCTCCTCCTCCTCCTCCTCCTCCTCCTCCTCCTCCGCTATTTCCACTATTTGCAGCGCCTTGAAGGGTTTGATTCCTGAAGCGCAACACGGCGGCAGCTGCCGCCGACCGAGGCGCCTCCGCGCCCGAGCCTAGCCGCGCACGCGGCCGACGCGCGGGCGCCTTCGGCGCCGGGGGGGGGGGGGCCCGCCCAGGGGAGAGGAAGGGGCCTACAGGATCTCTTGGGGCAGAGGAAGAGCGGGGGGGCGAGGCCCTAAAGATGGGAAAGGCCAGGCACCAGAGGACCCCGCAAGGAGGGAGGAAACAGGCCTGCGGGGGCCCCAAGAAGAAGGAGCGGGGTCCAATGGCCTGCGACTCGCCCTCTGGCCCGATGCGCTGCCGCCCAGGGTAGCAGCCTGACAAGCTGCGTCGCCTGTCCTGGGCGGCAGTGCACAGGCCTTGGAGTTCGGTGGGCCAGGGGCGCCTGGCGTGCCACCCCCTTTACCCCCACGAGCACAAGGCCCGAACCAGGAAACCATAAACTGAAGGAAGCGGCTGGGGGTAATGGGGGGCACCAAATTGTCCCTCGGGACTCCGACGACTCGGCCCCCTCAGGCGTCGTCGGCTGCGCTCTCGCCGAGCCTCGAGATCGTCGATCTGGTGGTACTGGACGAAGACTTCTCGTCCAGCTCGCTGGGCCACGTGGGGGCCCTCGGTCTTGTAGTACTGCATGGTTAGGTTGCCCATCGGGCTTGTGGTACTCGACTCAGTCATGCTGGTCGAAGTTGTTGGTTACTCTGCTGTGCCCAACCCTGTGGCCTTCGTCCCAGTCACTAGTCGTCCAGGTATGTCTTGACCCAGTAGCACTAGCTGTTGTCCTCGACTCGGTAGTGCTGGTCCTCGCAATAATTTGTGACTGTGATGCCAGCTTGCGGTGCTCGGACCAATCACGCTGGTTGAAGCAGTGGCTGACTGGCTGGCCCTCGACCCTGTGGTGCTCGGCACCGTCGTGCTGGTCGAAGCGGTAGTACTTGGCGCGGTATGAGGAACCTTTTCCATTCTACTCCATTCAACTCGGCATCACTGGTCCAGTGGTCGTTGGCTTGGTGATGGTAGGCTCTTGGTACTGGGCTCGGTCGCGCTGGTCGAGTTGAACTGCTTGACTGTGTGGGGCTCGGGCTCCTGGTGCTCGACTCAGCCGCTGAGGTACTTGTCGTGCTGGTTACGGGTCGTTGGGGATCGGCTTGTTGCTGGTGGGTGGAATAGGTTGTAGGCGCACTCAGGCCTCCATGCACCGACTTCAAGTAGGGTTCTTGGCGGCCCCACCTCGTCCCGCTATGGCTAGGGGTCACAGTGCCCTCGGTGGGGGGCGAACCCCAGGCCCAGTGATTCTTCTGCTGTCGATGAGGATGGTCTCGGCTGCCCTATGCTTCGCCCTTGGGCGCTCGGGAGTTCCATCTCCGCCATGGGAATGGTGGGGGTGGCGAGCTAGGGCGGACCGCGGGGGCGCGGGCAGTGCTCGTCCTGCCCCCCCCCCCCCCCTGCCCCTCACCATCCCCCCTGGTAGGCGCGGGCAGTGCTCGTCCTGCCCCCCCACCCTTCGAGCGCGTCTCGAAGTTTGATCCTTGCCTCACCAGGGCAGCGTTGACTCGTACTTGGTGCAGTTGGCATGTAATCTGGCTGGTACCTCTGAGCCCTGGCTGTACGGCGGCCGTGTCCATCACTGCTGCGAAACGTGGCGACGTGTGCCTGGGGTGTTCCCTCGCATTCGGGGCTTCCCCAGGACTTGCGCCCTGACGACTCGTGCAAAACTTGGCGACGTAGCCTGAGGTATTCCCTCGCACTCGGGGCTTCCTCAGGACTTGCGTCCTGACCCTTTTGCACTTGTCGTCAGGGCTCTTCGTCGCGATCCGCGTCGTCAGCCTGTGCTCGAACAGCTCCCGTCGAGTTGGTGGTCCTGCCCATTGCCTTGTCGGGTCGGTCCTGCAGGGCCCACTCCCTCGCCTCCTCCAACCAGGTCGGGGCGCTCCCTCGCCTCGCTGGGCCACGGTGGTAGTCCTGACCCATCTCCCTGGTCTTGTAGCGGTCGAGCGGCTGGAAGAAGTGGGCCACGTCGCCGTCGATGTGCAATCCGTGGACGTCGCTAGGCGACTCGCCAAAGCGCCACCTTATCTGCTTCGCCAGTGCGGTCGCGATGGCCTGGCACAACCTGTTCGGGTACGCCTTGGCCGCCGCGGTGCGCCACTGGCCGTCGTCGTTGATGCCCGCCAGCTCCGCGTGGTAGGCCGTGTGGAAGCACCTCCCACCTCCAGGCAATCTGCTGATTTCTGTTCGGAGAGTTGGTAGGGATACCGCCAGCAGGCTTGTGGACTTCCTCGAACGCGCTCCACAGGTGCACTGGTCGAATGTGATCAGCTCGACTCCCTGCTGGTCCAGGAGGTGGCGCGTCTCGGGGAGCCTCCAGGAGCTGGCGAAGTGCTCCTCGGTGGGCTCGCACGGGTGCTCGAGCATGCCTGGGACTCCAAGGTTGAGGCACATGTACATGAGCTCCAGCTGTGTCCTGTCTAGGCGATTGCCTATCGCTACTTGTTCCATCTCTGGACGGGAAAGGTAGCGAAGGCCCCACAAGCTGCTGCTGCTTCTTAGGGGTCGTGGTGGGCGATACCTGCAGTCATTGGGGGGCAGGTGGCGCGCTCGGCTCCAGGTCTCGCACGGCGGTCCGCCGATGACTCCTGCAATCCTCCCTGCTTGTGCCATGACTCGCCATTTGTTGACTGCGACTTCTGATGTCAGGTCGCCGAAGGTCGGGTCGTTGGCGATGTCCAGGCTGAGCATGTGTATGTCGCATGAAGCCCGACTGCTCATACGGTCGAACCAATCCTGAACATCTCCCTCTCGGCGACGGCCGCTGAACAGATGCAGCACGTATAGAGTCCGAGCTGGCCTGGGCCTGGGTGCAGCAGCTGGCGGCGGCGGTGGCTCCTCAATGAAGGGGAGCTCGAGGCTCTCGTAGTGGCCGCCGTTGCTGTCGTCGCTGTCCTCGTCCGTGTGTATTTCTGGAGGACGAGCAGGGACTGCAGGCTTCTCTGCCCAGTCGATGGGCCTGCCCGCCCTTCTGTTCGCCTGCTGCTGGTCGCGCACCACTTGTTGGTTGTGCTGCAGCTCGGCTTTGCTGAGGAGTGCTGGACGTGTCTTTCGCCAATGTCGAGCACACCTGCGCACTCGCAGCAAGTGCTTGACCAGCCTGTTTGTGGTGTGGTAATCCATGCCGCATCCGTAGCAGACCGAACCAGTTGCCCACGAGATAGGATGCCCCGACGAGGTGTGGTCCTTGGTGATGTGGGCTCGTAGCACTGCTGCGCTGAGTTCAGTACGTCCGCAGTGGTAGCATAGGTACTTGCGCTGCTGCTCGAAGTGCTGGTCTGGGAAGGGCGAGATGGCTTCCGTGTTGGTCCACCGCTGGAGTCGTAGCCGCCATCGAGCGTGGTGGTCGTGATCGTACTGGCGGGCTTTGCCACGTTGGCAAGCTTTCTTGACTGCGCTGAGGTAGCTTTTGTAGTCGTTCCTGGCCCAGTCCTTCCAGTCTTCGAGCGTGTATGCTCCACCACGCTCGTCAGGTCCTGTGCGGTCGCGGACCCAGTCTAAGTCGTGGCGGAGCAGTGCCACCCAGCCGTAACTACCATCCCATGCTTGGCTGAGTAGTCGGCGGAGGTGCAGGGGTCCCCAGTTGAGGCATCTACCGAATAGTCGTAGCCGCTCAAGACGTAGGACTATCTCGGGGGGCAGCTTGTCGACCCCTTCGAGGATCTGGGTGTTCGTGACCTCCTTCTTCTGTCGTACTTTCCAAGTGATCCTCTGCGCGGCAGCGTAGTTCACGATATACTGGTTGTTGAAATTCCTGGCCTGGCCTGCTGTGAGTTCAGGCCAGGTAGACGCATTGTATAGCAGCTGGGATAGCACCACACTGTCGGCTAGGTAGGCCTTGTCTTTGATGGCCAGCTCTGAGCGACGGTGGACTTCGCGATGGAGAGGCCTCGTGGATGTCGCAGCGGTGGCTACCTTCACTGCGACATCCACCCCAGGGGATGCATTGTCGGTTACGTAGGTCCCGAGGAGCTTGTGGTGGCGGACAACCTCGACGTGGCTCTCTGCGAGAGGGACCTCGATCCTCGGCACTCCATTGGAATAGAAGCTGGCCCGAGCTTGCCGGCTCCCAGGCCCACTGATGTCGATCATCACCTTGGTCTTGGTGAGCTGCAGCTGGAGGCCGAAGGTGCTGGTGGCGCAGTAGACGGCTTCGCAGAACCCCGTGGCCTCGGACTGAATGTGATCGGGGCTGGTGAACACGTGCATGCCCGTGAGGTCGTCGACGAACGATAGGCCGTGAGGTTCGTGCTCCTGGAGTGGTCCGTCTGTGGGGT